CTACATAACTTGTATCACATTTTCCAAGAGGCCTATGAGCCCTCCAAAAGCTGATAGTACCTACTTAGAGGAAGAAGACAAACTCCACATCCTTTTGAAAGATACAGTTTGGAGCTACATACAGTGTATTCTTCCAGGACATGGAGAACTACCCAAGAAAAAGGTATGAGCAATTCTTCATGGAGGCCTGAAGGTGAAACTTGGGGCTTGATTTGGGAACTCTTGAGGGGTAAGCAGTCTTCTGGTTAGTAGTCAAATGCCTTAGGCACTTAAGCCACCAGTCTTCTGGTTAGCAGTCAAATGCCTTAGGCACCTAAGCCACCAGAGCTCCTTTAATGGTCCCTGGGTAGTGCAAATAGTTTGTGCTCAACTACTAACCTAAAGATTGGTTGTTTGAGCCCACCTAACATCTCTACAGGAGCTCTGGTAGCATAGTGGCTAAGGCACTTGACTGCTAACCAGAAGGCTGATGGGTTTGAACCACCAGCCACTCCTCGGAAGGAAGGTTGGGCAATCCTACTTCCGTAGTGATACTGCCTCGGAAACCCAAGGAGGGGTCGCTATGAGTCAGGGCTGACTCGACGGCACATAACAACAACAACAACAACATCTCTACAGAAGAAAATCCTGACAATCTGTTTCTGTAAAGATTACAGCCACCAATACAGTTCTACTCTGTAATCGCAGGTCACCATGAAATGGAATCAATGTGACAGCAGCAGTGGGTTTGATTTTGGTTTTAGGTAACTTGACAGAGACTGCAGTGTCTGAAAACATGGTTGTTGTTGTTGTTGTTGTTATGTACCATTGAGTCAGACCCGACTCATAGCGACCCCTCCTTGGGTTTCCAAGGCAGTATCACTACGGAAGTAGATTGCCCAACCTTCCTTCCAAGTGGCTGGTGAGTTTGAACCACCAGCCTTCTGATTAGCAGTCAAGTGCCTTAGGCACTATGCTACCAGAGCCCTGAAACATGGTAGGAACATATAAAGGAAAGCAGAGAGAATTGGGGAAGTTGGGGTTCTTATGTTGGAAAACAGGTTTGCTAATAACTAGACAATGAATTAGTGGTATTTGAAAATTGCAAGGACCATGTTTGGGAGCTCTGGTGGTACAGTGACTAAGGCATTTGGCTGCTATCCAGAAGGCTGGCAGTTCAAACCCACCAGCCACTCCTCGGAAGGAAGATTGGGCAACCTACTTCTGTAGTGATACTGCCTCAGAAACCCAAGGAGGGGTTGCTGAGTTGGATCTGACTCCAAGACAGTGAGTTTGGTTTGGTTTTTTGTATATCCTTTCATTTTTATAACTATTTTTAAAGTTTTGTAAATCCAACTATGACATAAATATACCTGATATATCCCACTAAAGGAATATTTGTGAATTCCTTGACACCAATTTTCCAGAGGCCTATCTCCTGGAGTTTCCCTCTTCTGTTCACTAGATAGTTACAAAAACGATGAAAGCTAGCATGCGTTTTTGCTGAACTGATTTCTCAACCCTCCCACTTCTCTGCACCTTTCCTGCCCAAATCACCTAGAAGATGTCTAGAAATGATTTGGAGGGACTTGGACTTGTTAATTAACCTAAACATTCACATTCGTCTGCAAGGTGCATTATTGTTAATTAAAACTGCGATTCTCCTTGTGCCCAGACGGCGGGCTGCTGTTGTCAGAATAATTAGATAGCATACGATGGTTTTCATGCAAATCCCTAGCAATTAGAGTTGGCAATGAATTGGGTTTGAAATCCCAGTGAAGTTCTCAATCAGAATTCCTCTGAGGGCGGCTGCAGGAGGAAAGTGATGATGAGGTTAGGAAAAGGGAGACAAGAGGTAGATTAAAGGGTGTGGAGACCAGGCATTTGTTTTCTAAATCCTCTGGGAGGGGCCCCAGCCTAAAGTAAATGGACTATAGGCTTCAATCTAATATTCAAATCTCCCTCCAAAAATAAGTTTCTTTCCTTAAAGATGCAATGCAAATTGACCTTCCCCAGGGCTTCCTGTGCTCCCAAGAGCTTGCTTTCATGGCTCTCGTCTTTCTGAGAGGATTTTTTTCTTTAGCCAGGAGTCCCAATAGCTCATACACCGCTAAAGTCCCTGCCAACCTTAAGATTAAATTCTTAAAGGTTGTAAGGAAACAGGATTTGTATTCCTGAGAGATTGCAGAAAAGACACCAGATTCAGACCAATTTTGGAGTGCTTGGCGTGCAGTGGGTTCAATGGACAAGGGTGAGTGTACCCTGAGGAAGCCTTAAAGAAATGACTGAGGTCAGGGCTAGAAGAAAGGACAATTTATCCAAGTGCAGCACAGATAATGACAGGGAAAGGCAGGCCCTTGAAGGGATGGGGCAAAGTCTGTGGGGGTGGAAATAAGAAGGAGATAACTGGAGGGAGGTTGTCTTCAACCCAACCCAGACTTCTTATCAGCTGTTGGCTTCTGCCCCTTTGTGAGGGAGGTGGTAGCTGTGGAGCTATTACCCAGGAGGGTGGGTTCTCTAAACCCGACTCAGTGGAGAGGGATTTCTATCTGGAAGCACAGGGCAAGGAGTAGATAAGATGACCCCAGTGGCCTTAAATTAAGCCTTGCTTTCATCAGGTTGACGCTGGAAGATTCTGGAAGGAGAAAACAAACCCTCCTCCTTTCAGCTAGGTCAGCTTCTGAGTCCGTACTTTGTAAGGGAGGAGGGCAGCATCTGGTAGGATTGAGTGACCAGAGCCTGAAGGGGGAGTTTTAAGAAGAGGCTGAAGACGGCATAAAAGAAAATACTGAGACTCATTCAGCAACTGTGATCGCAGACTTTAGCATAATTTAAGATTGTAAATTATGCCCTTTTTAAAATTTCCTCTTCTTTCGTTTGCGTTTCAGACAGTCTCCCGAGTCTCAATCTCTAGTTCCGTCTTTCAATTTATGGCGCACCAATCAGCAGCTAACCTGGTTGTTGCTAAGAAACAGGAGGTGGGGGTTTTAGAGGTTTAGTCACAGCACTCACCCAGGAAAATTCTCAGAACCTTTCGCACCCTCCCGCCTAGGATGCCCAAACTCACCTCTGCTTCTGTCCTATTTATCACCAAGGCCAAAGAGTTGAGTGAGACATTTTAGGGGAGAAGCCAGGCATGCCACATCTTTGAAAAATAGACCTCGTCTGGATTCAGGCAGATGATTTGAGGCAGCGTCTCAAGTTTCCCTAGCCTTTAACTGGTTAACATGTGTGTGTGTGTGTGTGTGTGTGTGTGTGTGTGAGAGAGAGAGAGAGAGGGGCATCATGGAGAAAGGTCAGTTTTTTGGTGACAACAGAAGTTGCTCTGTATGCAAAGGGACTTCCTCGTTGCCCTTAACAATCATCACCTAACTTCGCATACATCCACCAAAACCAAACCAAACTCACTGCCATTGAGTCGATTAGACTCATAGTGACCCCTTCTTGGGTTGCTGAGGCTGTTCACTATGGAAGTAAGATTGCCCAGTCTCCAGTCTGAGGAGTGGCTGGTGGATTTGAACATACAGCCATCTGCTTAGCAGTCAAATGCCTTAGGCACTACACCACCAGACCTCCCGACCTCAGCTGCATAGAGGTTGGAAAAAAAAGCATCCAAGGTCATGATTAAGCAGCCAGAGAATCAAGGTGGGATTGGACAAAGGGATGCACAGGATACAGGGGTATATCTTGCAAAGTAGAAGGAAGGATTAGTTCATTTTTCATTCTACATTGGTTCGTTTCAAGAGCTGGAGTTGAAAGAGAAATTTGAGTGATTCCAAGCAGAAAATGAATCAGAGCAGTCCTCCTCCCCCTGTAAGTTTCTCCACCTTTCTCAACTTTTTAATCGCTTCTTCCTTCTACACATCCTACACAGAAAAGACTAGGCAAAGACATCAGGGTAAATAGAACTCATTTGGGTAAGGAGTGAGTCATAAATCTCAATTTCTTATCCTGAGAACAGGGATGGGAGCAGAATTAATTGGAGGGCAGGGTCTGGGAGAGGTCAAGGAACAGACACAGGTATGTGCGGAACAGACACAGGTATGTGCAGTTCAGACACTGACAGAAATGCAAGGACACATGAAGACAGTGTTATTACATGTTCACATATAACATGAATATAGGTTCTAACAGATCAAGATAGACAAATGTGCATGTGCATGCACACACTCTCTCTCTCTCTCACACACACACACACACTCACCCATGGTTATCAGAGCAAAGGAAAGGAATTAACCTTGGGGAGATGAGTCCCAGAAAGTGGCCATTAGTATTATCTTGGTATGCTGTTGTTATTATGTGCCATCAAGTTAGACCTGATTCATAGCGACCCTTCCTTGCATTTTCCGAGGTGGTGTCACTACGGAAGTAGATTGCTCAGTCTTCTTTCCAAGGAGTGGCTGGTGAGTTTCAACTACCAGCCTTCTAGTCAGCAGTCAAATGCCTTAGGCACTACGCTACCAGAGCTCCTATTACCTTGGTATACTCCCTGCCAAAGAAGGTGTCCAGGATGCTTCTATGCAACTTCCCCGCTACCACTGTGATCTCTACACAACAGATGTCAGGGAGGTAAGAGGCAGAGAGGGGAGCTGTACAGACCCACCAAGGGATAGGCAACAGTACTCTGACCTTCATCTTCTTTTCTCTCTTCTCTCTCCAGTTTCTATCCCCATTACACTTGCTCTCTGTAGTTTCTCTTCTTTCTTTACCTGCTAAGTCATTTCCTCTAATTTCTTAGGTTTAGTTGTTACCTCGATGCTCTGGTCCCTCTCACATTCCCCCTTGAGATGGCTGTAACCTCACACCTCAAGAGAACATCTGTGTGTCCTGAAAGCGTTTGTACATCACCCTCTTTCTCCCCCAGCCAGCTAGTGAAACAGACACTGACAGGAAATCTTGTGTAAAATGTGTCCCTTTCCTCATTTTCTTTCCTATCCTCTTCATTCCCAGACAAAATAAAAAGCCATCAGTTTCAAAAAAGCAGCGTACACTTTAATTCAGGTTGACAGGTGGAACAAGAGCTAAGATTTGCCTCCAAGGGTGTCCGTATGAGAAGACCATCTTGTAGGGAGGGATGTGGAGGGCAAGGAAGTATGGGTGGTCTGGTGACAGAACAAAGCCAGGAACAGGGGCATAGCCACACAATGCAAGATGGCCAGGGCTTCTGCCAGATGCAGCAGCAAGTCCAGGACATGCTGAGCTAAACATGTTGATAGGAGCAAGACTCTGGACCTCACCAAGGAGTCCAATCCCAGAACCAACCCATGAGGCCACCAGAAAATGAACCACACCCACAGGATATCAACCCAGGATCCTGGCCCTACACCCAAGGCCCTTTTCAGCCCCCAGGCTCCCACCAAACCCAGTGGCAACAAGAAGAAGATGGCAAAACAGGCTGCAGCATGCATGTAGTACAAAGTCCCCAACCCCTTGCTGGATTTCAGGGTGCAGAATCCTTGGACAGCATCACTGGCCAAGGTGATTGGCAGTACCAACAGGGTAGCCACTCCCCAAACTCCCACAGTGAGCCCCAGAGTGAGGCCTCGGACCTGATATGCACTCAGCTTGGGGCCCAGGCAGGCCCGGCACCCTATCAACAGAGCCTGCGCAAAGGCTGAGACATACCAGACCCAGTGGCCTATGCAACACAGGATGCTGCTATGGGAGCTGCCAATCCCTGGTGCCAGGATGGGTACCACCACACTGAAAAGGGCACTGCCCACAGCCAACTGTACCAAGATAGGTCGGCCAGGACAGAGCTCCCAGTGGAAGAGGGGTTTGAGAAGGGCAAGGAGGACAGCTCCATTAGTTAGGATCCCCAGGACGCTGGTCATGATGAAGAAAGGCAGTGAGGAGTTGTTGAGCAGACTATAGGAGAGGCAAGGGGCGGCTTCTTCCAGGCTGCTGTCATTGTAGTCAAATAGTTCATAATCAGAGTAATTCCAGCCATTCAAAGAGTAGCCTTCCAAGTCCAAGGTACTTGAGTTCTTTTCTTTGGAGAGGAAGGGATCCACCTAAAGGACATACCCAGAAGGGAAATGAGAGTATCCAGGTACCCTGCTTACCCCACTGAAGGATCTCTTGGGATTGCAGAGGAAGGCAGGAGGAGAGGATAGAGGGGAAGCTGGGGTTGGGAGAATAGGGAGCTGGGGAAGTTTGCCACAGTCAAGATGGTGAAAGAATACAAAGCAGGGAAACTTAGGACCAAGAAAACAAAGAGCCATGGAAAAGCCAGGGCAGGGATGGTAGATAGGGCTGATAGAGGAAGGCCAGCAGGGAAGGATAATGTGGGGACTGGGTGGGCATGAATGGAAAGAGCAATGAGGAAAATAATGGAGGACATAGGAGACTGGGGGAAGAAGGAAGAAGGAAAGGGATTCTTACAAGTGAGAGATGAGAGAAAACGGAAAATGTACAAAGACCTGAAGGATAAGCAGGCAGGCAACAGGGAGCAAAGAGGTAAGGCTTTGTTGGGTTATCCCCCACACTCACCGCATACAAGCAGTTCCCCATGGCACTGCTGGGCTCCAGGCAGGCAAAGAGAAGGGCTGGGGAGTACTCTCAGTGACTGTGGTTCCAAGATAAGTGCCAAGGACTAATGAGGACCATCAGGTTATGGGCAGGGCCAAAGGGTGGGTGGGGGGCATTCAGGAAGCCTTTACCCCACACCCACTGCCTGGCTAAGCCTCATTCCTACACAGGGCACTGGCCCCAGGCTTCCTGTTTTGAGATTAGATTCTATTGGTTGGAACCTGCACTCAGGAAAGGAAAAAGGTGGGAATCAGAAAGTGGGTATTTTCCCCGAAGGTGGAGATAGGCGAGAGAGCTGGAAGAGGAGGTTGAAAAGCCAGGGGGCTTTCCAGCAAGAAGGGATCCTTCAAGCAAAAGGAAGGAAGAGGGAGTCAGGGGTGAAGTGTGAGACAGAGATAACAGAGGTGCTGGGAAGCTGGAGTGAAAGGGCAGGTCGATGACTCTCACTTCTCCTCCATCCTCTTGAACTTGATCCAAGGGAAGGCAGAAGGTTCAAAAGCTATATGTTTTGGGGAGGTATCAGTGGGCACTTGTGGTTGGATCCTTGTTATGCTGACAATCCGAGGGGTATATGTGGAGTGTAAGCTCTCTGTGTGTATTAGTTTGGTAATAAAAATATGTGTGTGTGTGTGTGTGTGTGTGTGTTTGCAGCTATGTGGTTATCTCCTTGTGTATCACTGTGCACATATCTGTGTTTGGGGTGGGTATCTGGGTGTGTGTATGGCTATCTCTGTGTCTAGGTGGTTCAATGTGAGAGGAGGGAGGGCTGGGGGTGGCTGTCAGGCTGAGTAATGAAGTTACTTCAGGGAGCAATTGGGCATTTGCCTAGCCACCTATGGGCGCAGTGAACGCATCTTTCCTACCAAACAGAACACATGGTCTGACAACTTAAAGTAGACTCAGGGGGAGCATGGGACAGCATATTTTAAAATGAGACTGTTGCCCATGGGGTAATCTCTAGTCATATTTCTGTTGGGGGACATAAAGTCTCTGGAAACTGTTCCTTTGGCCTGGCATCTTAGTGAAATGTAAAATTTCTTAAGGGGGTGGGGGACAGAGCTTTATTTCTCTCTGGCTGGCAGAGAGGAAAGGCATCTACCCTGCAGATGGACTCATCCAAGCCAATGCTTCTTCTCTTAGTAAGCCCCTTCCCACCCACACTGCTTCCTCACAATTCCATTGACTCTCTCTGCATTTTACTTTCCCAACTGGGGAGACTTAGCCTGGAAATAAAGAGAGGTGAGGAATGGGTGTTCAAGTCCAAATGGTGAGGAAGAGAGGGGCTATACAGGGGAGACTGGTTCAATTAATAAAACACCCCAAGAAAGCATAGAGTGTTTTAACCCCAATTCTGCCAAAGAGCTTCAATCGCATGCTAGGGTGGTGGGGTAGGGAGTGACAAGGGAGCTTGGAAGCACAGTGCCTCAGACCAAGGTGCAAAAAGTTACTTTAGAGATAGGTTTTTCCCTTTTCCCCAGGACATTAACTCAAGTTCCAGGTTCTACATGACAGGGATTAGAAAGTGAGACTGGAGGAGACTGACAGAGCTTTACAGAATGGTTGTCACTTCCATCTCAACCTTCTTCAGCCTTGCCTGGTAGAAGACTGGGGGGGCATCCAAGTGCCCTGGTCCCAATCACTCTCTGGGAAGCAAGGGCTCAGCAAAATGGGGTAGGGGGAGAAGAGGTTGAATATTTATCTCCCTCGGGAGTTATACTGTTTCCCTTATAGAGACACCCTTGGGTAGGTGGCATGACAAAGGATGTCACTCCTTGAGATACCAGGTTCAAGGGATACCAGAGGAATAGCCCTTATACACACATGTCCCAGCAATAGTGAGATCACAAAAAGGAGGCAGCCAGACGACACGGATAATCCAGATATATTGAGGGTGGCCCTCTGAGATTAGCACAGGAGAGTTAGAAAGATTATAAAGATACACGATCCCCTCCCTGCTCCCGTCCCCCCCCCCCCCCCCCAAACAAACACACCACACAGCACAACGGCCCCTCACTCCCGCCCCCCATACAAATATGGCTTCTGTGTAATATGGACAGAGTGGTTCAGCTCGAAGAGGAAAAGTCATTTTCCCAAAAGCGGTTGCTGGGAGATAGGGAGCCTGACAGGCCTGGGTCCCAGGCTCCCTTGTTGCTGTTAGAGGAGGGGGCCCTGGCTTGGGTAAGGGGTTGCCTGTGGTGCCCAGGGCCCTAACCAGTGGCTGGAAGATTCACAGCGATATTACCTGAACTGAGGGGTGGGCAGACCTGCTGTATTGCAGCTGCCCCTATTTGCACGCCCATTGTCAGACCAGGGAGGACATGCTGGAGGAGGGTGAGAGCAGTGCCAAGGGGCATCCTGGGTCTGAGGGGGGCCTTCTGGCTGGGACAGGGAGGGGGAGCAACCTCATCTCCATGGCAACCAGCTCTGGGCCAGGGAAGGAAGACAGAAAATCAAAAGCAGGGGTAGGGGTGGGAAGGAGACAGGGGTTTTCACTCCTAGGTCTCAACTCAGTGGGTACAGAGGAAGGGAAATTCCAGCGTCAGTGCCAAGGAGAGGCCTGGGGGGTGCATAGCAAAGGCTGTGGCACTGACTCTGTGGCTGGGATATGGGAAAATGAGGGAGTGTTTTGGAGAGAGATGGGATAGACAAGTGAGCAAAAACACATCCTGGGACTCCTTTCTCCCAGACAGATGGGCATTGAGAGTGGCAAGGAATATACCAGGATAGAGTAGCATCCCAGGTGAGGTACCTGACTAGGAATCTTCCACTCTGAAAGCCCCTCTTCACCTGTTCCCACAGCCCCAGCCACCTGCCCAGGACCTGGATCCTTGTCCCTCCTCCTCAATCTCTGCCATATACACACATGCACACACACTTTCACACACTCATAGAGTTCACATTATTTCCTTCATTTGGGCAGAAAACAGCTCAGTGCAGTGAAGCTCCTTTTAGCATTTTTTTGTTGTATCTGCCTGGCTGCTGAAGGAGGAAGTGCTAAAGGTTGTAGTGGATAGGAAGGGGCACAGGAAAGCACAGAGAGGGAGGAGGAGTTGCTGAGCAATGCCATGAGAGGAGTCGTTGCCGTGCAACAGTCCAGGGCCCAGGGAAGAGTGAGGGGCCCTGGGCAGGGAAGCAAATGCAGCCCAGGCCCCAGAGCAGCGCCTCTCCCACAGTTGCTATAGAAGGAGTGGCAGCCCTGCTCTGCTCTCCCCCACGAGCAGTTCCTGGGAAAAAGGCCAGTCACCCGTTCATTTTGGGGCAGAGAGTAAGCAGGTCAGTCTCTGCTGTCCTGCTATCCCTCCTTGTAGGGACCTGCGTTCTCTCCATGCCCAAGTTCTGGGTCCCTGCATGGCTACAGACCACATCTCTATTCATCTTCCCCTTTGTGGCATAAGAGGAGTGTCAGGTGGTCCCTGCCTTCCTGTCCATAGCTCACAGTGTGTGGCTAGCAAAAGAAAAGCCATCTCTGGCTCCTGCTCACAACTCCCCAGCTCCTGGGGAAGTCTGGGGAAGCATCCCCCTTACAGAGGATGGAGGGCTGGTGAAAGCCCCCCCACACACACCAAACCAGCCCCACTCCTTCCCCTTTCCTTACCCCTCCACCTTCATTCTCCTCCTAACCCTCAAATTTTTGCTTTCCTCACCCCAGGACCCCAGCCCCTCAAGCCTGGAGACAGATTTGATTTGGGATTGTTACAAAAATAATAATAACCCAAACGCAGAGAAGCCACGGAAAGGGCTGGGGGCAACCCTCCCCTCCCCCCCCCCGCCCCCCCCCCTCCCCATTCCAAACCTAGTACAAAACCGCACCCAAAGCAGACATTCTGTACAGAGGGGTGGGTGGGCTGGGGAGCAAGCGGGAGGGGCGGCCCTGGGGTCGCTCTGTACAAGTCCAGGTTGGTGACGGCCCCAGCAGTCCCCAAGGGGCCCCTGGGGGGCACAGGAAGTGGGCAGGTGCCCCTAGATGAAATATTCCTTCTTGTCATCCCCTCCCGATTGCCCGCCTTCTGCGTTGATGATGGCCGTGTCTGCATCCGGGGCGTCGTCAGAGCCTTTTGCTTCATGTGTCAGGTAGGTTCCTGGATAGAGACAGAGGCTCCTCTTCTCAGGAGCAGCTTCCAAACCTTTGAAGCCCACCCTGCCCATTTTCCTGCTCTCCTTCAGCCCGCACATGCTCCTACATCTTGTCTCTTGCCTGAAGCTTTTTTCCTCCCCACCTTGCCTAATTTGCATTTTGCTTCTCAGGCTTCATCTGACCACACCCCCATGAATTAATGAATCTTGCCCTTAATTAGAATCTCCTCTATAATACAGGCAAAAATAAAAAGAGCATGTGTGTATGTGAGTGTGTAAATGTATTTGGGCAAGTGTTTAAGTGTGTAACTATGTAAGTGTGTCTGTGTAAGAATGTGTGTGTGTGTGTGAGTGTAAGACTGTGTTGTAAGTATATGTGTAAGTTGGTGAGAGCATGTGTGAGTGTAATTGTGTGTGTGTGTGCCAGTGCATATGTGTGAGTGTGTGTGAGGTGAAGAGGAAACTGCTATGTTAGTCTCATAAGCAATGTAGTGAGATCTGGCTAGCCCATGCAGTCAGGCTGCTGGCCAGAAGTAATAACGGGGAAGTCTGAGAGGAAGGAATGTGAGGAGAGGGTACATAGGATACAGACAGGCCAGCAAAAAGACAGGAAAGCGAAGAGATGAATGTGGGAACAGGGGTGAGATCAGAAGATAAGAAAAGGAGGCTAAAGTGATAGAACAGAAGAAAGTGTAGGGAGAAATGGGATGGACAGTTGCAGGGAGCTTTTTCTGCTTACAGCAGGAGACCCTGGAGGCAGAGTGGTGTGGAACAGCAGCTGACTGAGTCAGAAGGTTGATTGCACTTGGATGATCATCAAGTGATTAGGCTTTACTGCAGGGCAGTTGGTTCTCAGTTGTCACAGGGTTAGCAGGGATGGGATCAACTGCATTCTTCCCTCTTTCTAA